CACAAATTATCTATAAACAGCCAACAACCAACAATTAATTTACCAAACACTTTTATAAACAGCCAGCTTAAACAGCCAATTTCAAAAGCCATTATAAACAGCTAAACATTCCAGCTGGTTAAACAAGACAAGTGATGAACCAGCCAACAGTCATTTGCCAAACAAGGCCAAAATCTCAAGATTAATTTAAATTGATTAAATTAATAATGAGAAATTTCCTTATTTATGTTGTTGCACCAAGCTAAACCAATTTAATTAAAGAATGGTTCTTGGGAATTATTTTGGTTGGATGCACTTTGATAATTTTATTTAAGTTAGACTTGTTTAATTTTCATTTTTCACATTACATTAGTTCTAAAAGTAATTTAGAATTAATTATTAACCCATGCAAAAATCGGGTTTAAAAACCCGAGAGTATGGTACGTAAACCAAGACAACACCCTTCGGCTAATCGGGCTGCTGTGCAGCCCGCATGTGGCTGCCAAGAGCTGATGCTTGGTGCGCGCCACTCATGGTGCTTGGCTGGTGCGCCCAAGGCAGCAAGCACCACTGCCAAGCAGCAGCGTGCCGCAGCAGCATAGTTGTGCGCGCTAGCCACTGCTTGGTGCGGGCTTGCTGCTCGTGTGTGGGATGGTGCGACAGTGGTGTGCGGTGGTGTGTTGCGAGGCATGCGACATGGTGCACATAGCTAGCAAGCTTATGCGCACCTCCCCTTGATTAGTTCATATACCACATTATAAGGCAATAATATTTTGCGTTTTAGCCGCTTTATTTCATTTCATTAATCTTATTTATTTTAATTAAAATTTTTGGAGGCTAGGCCTCGATTTTGAGCGGCATTGGCAAAATTTAATTTTGGCAAATTTTGGGTTCTACCGGCTTAATTAATTGGATTAATTAAGTTGGATGCAGAATTTAGTGGGAGTTTCAATTATTAATTACGCAATTACATAATCGGTTTAAACAACTTTGACTAGTTTTAATTAGGCGTGTTAATTGGATTAACCACCTAGATTAGTTACTAGTGCGGGCGTGTGTTTTATGCATTGTTACTTGTTTATCGTTGTAAAATGCATGGGCCATTCACATATAGTGAATGGATGAATGGAATGTATATTCTCCCACAGGTTTTATGAAATGGCAACTAGTTGGACCCGATTAGGATAGAAAATACGGACTACGTGCCGTGATGTTTTTTTGTAAATCTAAATACGGTCTGCGTACCGTTGAGTATTTGTGTACTTTAATATTTAGATTAATCCTAGTCGTAGATACTAGTAGTTGCATAATTTGGTTAAGTCTTGAAGACGGAGGTTCTTGGAAGACAAAGCCATGAAGATGCAAGAGAAGACCTTTTGAAGACTTGAAGAATTCAAGGGGTCATGCTAGTTGCCAATATGCATCTTATACTTATGCTGTATATATTTATGATTGTGCTTATATATGAATGATATCTTAGATGCATGTTTAGGTTTTCATTATGTTGCGATGACTAATTAAGTTCACTTAAATCAACCAACATAGAAAACCTAGGTCCCTAATAATATCGAGTAAAACTTGCCTTTCCAAAACAACACTTGCACACCGAATGAGGGTGATGGTGGGCTACGCCAAAGAGAGGTACCATCACTACTCCAAGGATCGTAAGGCACACCGGGTGTGCATGTTGGTTTTGGTTGTACTCAACGATATGAGTGATAAAGTCCATACATGTCGTGGAAAAAGAGATACATCGTCATGACGCATTAGATGCAACGATTATCTAACCAAGAGTGGCTTGGAGCCATTAGCAAAGAATTACTTACCTTGGGGTATCAAGTGGTAGGACAAGCCAAAGCATGCCTAATTACTCGTTGATCCCTTGGATCTTGGAATCGCCTTATTCTCGCCAAATAGGGACAATTTATGCTGAATAAGACATTTAATAAGATTGAAGCTTGCATGAATGGTCTTAAATTTCAAACTTATTATATTCTTGATAAATGGTTATATTTTTCACTTATATTTATAGTACTCTAAATCAAATAATATTGTTTCCATGATTGGTAAAGGAAATCCTTGAGAATAGTTCTCAAATAAAGGAAAAGCATTTCTAAAATACAATTCTCATAAATGACTTTTACAACAAAGTCCAAAAGGACGGTTGGTCATCATGTATTCAAAATACTAGATAGTTTTGATAAAACATGAAGTATTGAGTTGCAAACTCAAATTGTCAATATTTGACAACCAACGTATCTTTTTGCTTCATACATAAATGAGTAGGACTCGTTGATGTAGTAATTCAAGTGTGAATTGAAAGAAAATATAGAACTTTGTTTTACGGCGAAGTAGGTGCCTGATTATGCCTAACAAAGTGTAAAAGTCAAGGAACTTAAATAAATGATTCTTAAAGTAAGGTTATGAGATATTGTATGATAAGAAATATAGGAAAGAAGGAACAAAGAAAATGAATAAGATTCCATTTCAACCCATGAGTTCATGTTATTGTAGTTAACTTAGCAACTAGTTATCTTCATAAGTATCAGATACTGCTTGAGTGTTCCACTTTGAAAGTTACCTCAAAATATTGAAGTTAAGCTAAGCTATCAACTTACAAGCTTAGAATGAAGCAAGGAGTGCTACATAAGTTGTAAGGTCGTATGTTTTGTTTAAACCTTTTAAGCAAAAGGCTAGAACAAGTAATGGTTATTATTATGTTCCATAATTAGCAATTGATCCGTTTACACACGGAAAGACTCACATTCAAAGTAAAGGCAATAGTTGCGAATTTATTTGAATGGCATGGTTATCCAAGCATTCAGTCAAAAAATGCTTGATTATAAACAAACATTTCCCTAAACATGATAAACTCACTAAGTTCAAATCATGGGCATGATTTGCGTTCCGAACATCTTTAGCAATGTCACATCGACAATAACGTACTCAAGACTCTATTAGATAGGCTCTTGATAATTGCTCGATTCAAAATCGTTCAAAGACAAGCAAGTCTTACTTGTTGAAACCGACAAAGCAAAGAGCTATTGTTCTTGGTATAGACAATTGACTCTGAAGGCTAAAGAGGATTCAATTACTTCAATGTTTCACGAAGAATTTGAAAGGATATGGTTGTATTCATCAAATGTGAACAAACTTGACTTGAGTAGCTCAAGAGTCCAGTGAAGTATAGAATCGACTTGGCAAGATACCAAAACGTCTAGATTAGATCGAGTGATGTTTGCTTGAGCCAAACGTAACCATCTTAAATTTATGAATGGAAATTTTCATAAACAACTCCACAAAGAACATACTTGTCTTCACGGAGATCTCGATGTCATTTGAAAATGACTCGAACAAAGATGGTTCACAGCCCTTCCTATAAAGTTCTTAAAGATTTGCACAAATGACTAATGTTACACTAAACTAAATGTCGAAGCTAAGAAAGGACGCAATATTCAGTTATGGATAGAAATAACTTCTAAACGTATTTTCAAGTAAATGTCTAAGGCTCTTAGTCTCAGTGGGAGTTCACTGGCTCAGTGGGAGATAAGTGACTCAGTGAGAGGTCACCAGCTTAGCAAGAGCTAAGTGGTTGAGTGGGAGCTTAATGGCTAATTAAAGGCTAAGATAGCTCAAGTAGGAGCTAACTGTTTGTTTTACAACGAACTTTTACCCAAAGACAATATACATGTCTCTTTGTAAGCATTCAAGTAAGACCATGGGCATTACCTCCACAACCTAATTGAGAACATAGTGTTTGTTTCTCTAATTGGTGTCTTTCTGGAAAGTAACACATTTCCAAAACGACAAGTGGGAGGAAAATGAAATCGATGACAATCGAGCTTAGTAACAAACTAGAATTGAGAATCTTAGAAGACCTTAAAAGGGCTTCGTGAGAATACTTGATCAAGAATATATTCCGCATAACAAAACTTTTGTAAAGTTTGAGTAAGATCAAGAAAATCAAAGGGATTTGGAAGCGCCTTGAAACTCAGTGGTTGATGCAATTGCCCTGTATAGGTATAGAATTCACCAAAGGCTTGGGTTTAATCCTATAAATTTTCTATTAAGTTGGAAATAAACTTAAGACTTACTAGCATACTATTTACTATTAGATAGTAAAGGAATAATGCCTTGTAAGATAGCTACGAAAAATCCAAATTCCGAATAATGGTTAGAGGCCATAAAAATCTGAGATAGACTCCATGTTTGAAAATCATTCTTGAAACTTGATTAATTTGCATAAAGGGTGAAAGACCCATCGATTGAAAATAAGTTTTCAAGGAGAAACTAACAAATGTGGAAGATGTATATGCAGACATAGCTAGATTAGTTGAAAAGGATACAATTAAATTCACGGAGTTGATTTGAATAAAAACCTATTCACCTATCGGAATGCTAAAGTCTTTTCGTGATTGATCTAGCAAAATTGCTCATATGGAATATGGCAAAATAGATACCAAAACCGCATTCCTAAAATAGGATTTTGGAAGTGACTATGAATATAGTCTAAGGGTTTTGAAAATCTAAATAAATGCTAGATTCACTACTAGAAAAAAGACTTATGGCAACGACAATAATCTGTTACCATATGTCCTATTAATGTTTCCATATGCCTATAGCAACGGATTATAAACTGTTACCAATAGGTGTTGTTGCTAAAAATCTTTAGTAACAACTTTCATGCATTAGGAAACATGTTTTGTAAACTGTTGCTGTAAATAATTATGGCAGCACTTTTCTTAGGTAGCACTTTTTAACTTGTGCCAACACTTATTGTACAACTTTAGGCAACATTTTCAAATTTAAAGCAACAATTTTCACTAATTTTAAGCAACACTTATTAGTTTGATACTAGTTGATTTTTAAAATTAAGGCAACACTTTATTTTGTTTATGGCAATGCTTCCAACTTAAACTAAAGCGACACTTTTAAACCTGCTAATGGGAACGATTTTAATTGGCATTAAAGAAATAGATTTGATAATAATGCATTTAATAATAAGTAACTTGCTTAAATAGCATATGATCAATAAACTAATATTATGCTTTGAAAGTTCTCCATAAAAAGTTACCCGTAGTTAATTCAAATTAATTCTAAATGATAAGCTAAATACTTATTACAGCCAGCAAAAACATTCGATCTAAATTTTTCATACATCAAACTAATTAAAATTCCAAAACCAAATTCTAAAAATTTATCTTCAAAAACCATTCTCATATTTTTGTGCAAAGTCCAATAAATATTTAGATGGTTGATGGATGACTTCATACTTGGATATATATAGTCTCCTGTACAAAAAAAAAAGTAATATTAATAATAATACTCTTATATTCAATAAAAAAATTCAAATGAATTATTTATAAAGCATTATTATCAAAACACTAGAAATTGAGATTGTAGTGAGTAAAGAATGAAAAAAAAAACTTTCATCTACAATGGGCAAGCAGTACTGCAGCAACATCACAAGAGTATAAGGAAGTAAACATCAAAGGATCATCAACTTGTATAATCATAGATACTACATTATCAAAATACTAGAACAATTTGGCTAAGCTAGCATCATAAATTTTTATGCCTTGTTTAGAGAAAAGGAAAGAGATTGAGTTTTTTAATCTTATAATTTTCTAAGCAATAATGCCAGCTGTGTTAACCACATGTAACAATGTAAAAATAGAAAAAGAAAAAAAGGAAAATAACATGTAAAATAGAATAACATACCTGTTCATAATCTTAAATAATATAGTTTATGCATCATTTGTAGTCGTTGAAACGATAGCTTTTGCAATAATTTCTGGAGTTAAGCTAGGATCTTTTTGTCATAGTTGTGCAAGTGCTGATATTATTGCATCAAGAGTTATATTTCCTTGCTGATTTTCAAAATCCATGCGTATCTCTTGCAGTTTTAAGGTCTTAGATTCAAGCTCCTTAGTCTTCCTCTTTATCTCAGCTTCTTGTGCAGCAACTTTTGCAGCATGAACTTCTTTTTCCTTGGCAAATTCTTCAATTTCAGCATTTATATCCTTTTGAACATCAGCAGTTACAACACTTTTAATAGACTCCATAACCTAATCTGGTAGAATCAAAGAGGTACCAGGTCCTTTATCTTTTCGCTTCTTGCGAGTGACACCTAGTCCTTGTAATAATTCTATACCTCGACGTATGTTTCTCATAACTTCATCAAATGGGTCCTTAACAGGTTCACCACTCTGATCATCTTGAGAAGCTTCCAATTCCCTCATTGCTTGCTGTAACAATTATTAAAATAGGTTACAAATTATACGATAAATTAATTCAATAAATAAATTATTAGGAATAATAAAGTATTTACTATCTTTTGTTGTGTATCATCATAAGGTCGGTCATAGGTTCTTCCCTCCTTTCGCCGTCGAGTCTCTTCAAACATTTTTCTTTTTGATGGTGCCACACCATCTTTCCGTAGCTAAGAAATAAACAAAAATAAATATATAAACAACATAAAGTCCATAATTCAAAAAAAAAAGTCGTAATATATATGGAATGTATTTCGCACCAACTGCTCATGTTTCATGGCAAAAGAAACGGGACGAGTTGTATGTATGTTGTCTTGTTCAAGCCGATTTTCAGAATTCTGCAAACTGGTTTTCTACATAAAACAAAAATAAAATAAGCATAAAAGTCAAGATAAATATATTGAGTTCCTAATTGTTCAATTATACCTTTGCTATTGGTGTCCCCCAATAAGCTAAAAAGTGTTTTGTAATGTGCTTCAGGCACTCTTTCAGGAGGATGCTTCAATCTCTCTTCATAAGGGTCATACATATAATAATGATCTCTTTTGAGGCGACATTTGAATCCTCTCCAAGATTGATCAAGAGTCTCCATTACCTAATCCTTAGCTTCAACTGGAAGGACGTACTTGCTCTAAAATAATGGTTAGGTTTATGTTATAAAATACAATATTAAAACACATATAAAAGTAAATACATGATGTATACTTAAAATAGTACAAATAAGATAAAATTACACTTACAATCATAAATTCCCAGATTTTCTCCTTGTTTGGAACTTGTTTCCAATTTGTGTATGTCAAGGGAGCCCAATTATAATCATGAGCAATAGTTCCTAAGAATCTAGTTAGCTCTTTCCTAGCCTTTTCAGGCCCGATAGCTTGGCCTTTGTCATTACAATAGATAGCTACGCGATCTTCCCATTTGCGAGCATGGACATCAAACAAATTTGTTGGACCGCGCCCTTTCTTCTTAGGAACTTTTATCCAAGTAAAAACAAAAGAATTAATTCAAAAGAAATAACAAATTTAAAGATAGAAATAAAGATCAAAATCGCAACTTTATAAATGCAATTACATGACATGGAAAAGTTCATAAGTAAACATGTGACAAGCATTCAATAGTTTTTAAGTAGCAGCAGACCCTCCATCTACATTAGCACCAGAACCTACATCAACACCAGCATATCTTGCACCAACAGTTGTAGACACTTCACTAGCAATGTCCCTTTGATCAACACAAGCAGTCATGTTTTGCCTTATGCGCAGCAGCAACACCTCCCGGAGCTAAAACTCACCTCAAATACTCCCATACTCCCCCACAAGCCTAACAAAACTTGCTTCAACCAGAACATAATTGCACTTGATTTTATAATGGTACTTGGCTTGCAGTTTGTTCACTGTTTACTGCTAATTACTTATATAATAAGAGAAGAAGCAGATTATAGAAAGTTGTATAACCTTGGATTAAATAACTAAAAAGTTTACAAGACTAAGATTTTTCATGATTTGTCAAGGGGTGGAGGATTAAAGACAAACCTTGTGTGGAAAAACTTTCTCCTTGGCTTTCTAGTGGAACAATGGTCGAAAGCAGACGCTTAGATCTTTGTCGATCTTGCTCCAATTGCTGTACATCTTGCTCTATTTATCGTACTTCAGCTGGATCCATTTGATTTTGAGCAACAAGGAAATTTTCCATTGCCATAGATGGGTACAATGGCTGCTTCTTATTCTTCCTAGGTGGTTGCTCTCTAGTTCTTGCCTTCTAGCATCCGATCATAAATGTAATCAGTATAAAATAAACATGATCCCACAGAAGAAAAAAATAATGAAAAAAGGAAAAAGAAACCTTCTTAGGTATAGAGGTTGTTGCTTCTCGAGACATCTCAAGCTCCTCATCAAGGTCACAATTTTCTTCATCAGGCACATAGTCTTGATCATCTACATTAGAATTCACATTCTCCTTTCCTTTTGCAAAGTTCTTATTTTTTTCCAACAATTGTTGAGCAATCTTGTCGAGCCCTAATTCTCTAATCCTCTGGGCATTTCTTTCTATAGTCATGGACCTTACTTTTTCATAAGGTGCTAAGGTGGACTTTGAGGCAATTTCAGGCTTCTTACTTCCATTATTCGTCATTCTGCAAACAAATATTATAAACAGTTAGTGGAAAAAAAAAGTTTAGACAAATAGCACTTACAACAAATAGTCGGACATATTTTTTTCAAATATAACACATAGTTAATACTAAAAAATTTATTAGTACAATATCTGATACCTGACATTCAGCTAATATATTCAGGATTTGGGATACTCAAGTTTTGGGAATAAAAATTAGATAAGGCTAATATATTCACTAAGGATAAATAATTACTACTAAAGATGATAAAAAAAAATTAGAAAAGGCTAATATATTCACTAAAGATGATAAATAATTATTACTAAATAAGCCAAATCAAATGTTCAAACAGCAAGCCTAATACATAAAACAGAGTATAATATAATAAAAACAAAATACATAAAACAGAGTATAATATAATAAAAACAATTGCTCAAGATTCATTAATAATCCTATGGCTCATGAGCTGGAATATCATCAGTTGCATCCATCCAATCCCAATCTGTATCATCATAGTCAACATCATCTTCATGGTTATTAACATCCTGTGATAAATCATCTATGTTCACAGCACGCACTTCACCACCACCAGCTCCTACATGAATATGATTAGCATCGAAAGAAGGCATGTTATTAGAACCAGTAGGCTCCTCCCAATATGTTTCCTCATTCAGTGCTTCCTCAAAGTAAAAAAGGTCTCTTGGAACCCTTTTCAGGACGTATTAAATATCTTTTTTTAATGGGTCTTGGGAATAGTATACTTGATGAACCTGAGAAGCCTATACGAATGGATCATCTTTGGAACATTTCTTCTTGAAATTGACATATGTAAGCCCAAACTCATCAATATCACCAAGAAACCAATCGCACTTAAATAACGCAACGCTGAATTGAGACCAAAAGTCCAACTCAAAAATTTCTTATATTGCACCATAGTAGGTAACATCTCCGTCGACGGGATTTTGATCCCTTGAACTGGCAAAACTAGTAGTTAAAGCTGTTAAAGTCACTCCACTATTTTGAGTCTTTAATCGTGAATCACGTTCTCTAGTGTAAAACCTATAACCATTGATAAAATACCCAGTGTACCTCCTGGCCTTGGGATTAGGACCCTTAGCCAACCAAAAAAGTTCCCCATTAACCAGCTCCCTTTGTACTTTTTCAAAAAACCAATCAATAAAATCTCTGCTATGACTTTGTGCACTATTCCATCTACGCTTTCGACCTTGGCTATTCACCCAAATCTGATGTTCTCTAAATTGCAAAAGAAAAAAAGTTATTATTTTTATTAGATTAAAATTAAAAAAAAAAACTGAAAATAAACTAAGAAAAAACCTCTTACTTGATGTATGTTTTAACTGTTGCATTGTCGCAATTGAAGACAATATATCTATGAGCTTGCTTCAGACTTTGGAAATCTAATGTAAATCCTTTTCCTTTTCTGTTCCTTTTCCCTCCAATAAGATGTCCTAATTTAGGAAACAAAGATAATTCATCATCATGCTGATTCAAGGAAAAATTTCTAGCACATCTTCTGTCTAGTCTAGTGTTTACATCTTCACGTAAATATCGTGAAATAAATTTCAAGCACTCTTCCATCATATACCCTTCTGCTATACTTGCTTCAGGATTACTCCTATTTCGAACATAGGACTTTAGCTTACCTAAATACCTCTCAACAAAGTACATCCATCGATATTGCACAGGTCCACCAAATTTGATTTCCTCTACTAAATGAACAGGTAGATGGATCATAACATCAAAGAAAGCAAGAGGGAATATCATTTCAAATTGACAAAGTATATCAACAGCTTCAGATGCTAACCTATCTAATTCTTCAAGATCAACAATTTTACTACATATATCATGAAAAAAGTTCCCCAATCTAGTCAAAGGTACTGCAATATTTTTTAGCAATGTCTTCCTCACGGCAACTTGAAGCAGGTGATGCAATATGACGTGTGCATCATGAATTTTTTAGCCAGAAAAATTCCTTTCTTTAGCATGCACACACCTCCCGATATTTGATGCATACCCATAAGGTAACTTAGTTTCCTTAAGAACTTTGAGAAGCAAATCCTTCTTTGCATTACTCATAGCATAAGGTGCTGGTAGAAATAGCATGTGGCTGCCATCTTCAGATGGATAAGGTTGGAGGTGTGGTTTTATGCCAAGATCCAAAAAATCTAAACGTGCCTTATTGTGGTCTCTACTCTTTCCTGGAATGTCTAAAAAAGTGTCAATAATGTTATCGAAGACATTTTTCTCGATATGCATGACATCTAAATTATGACGATATTTAATATTAGACCAATAAGATAGTTGAAGAAAGCATGATTTCTTTTTCCATGGATCTTTACCACCACCACCTTTACTTTGCTTCCTAAAATCATTTTCAAAGTTCTCTAACTCATTCATCAAATCAGCACCCGATAACGGAGAAGGTGCACACCTGTCCTCTACTTCTCCATTGAATGAATTTTTATCTTTCCGCCAAGGATGATCCATATCTAGATGCCTTCGAATATCCATGTAACAATTCTTTTTACTGTGATGCAAGTATTTAGGTTTCACATCATGGTTACAATTAGGACATGCATAATTTCCTTTAGTTGACCATCCAGACAACATGGCGTAAGCTGGAAAATCATTTATCGTCCCCATTAATGCAGCATGCAATTGAAATGATTGTTTTTTAAATGCATCATAAGTCTCAACCCTAAATTCCCATAATTCCTTTAATTCCTCAATTAATGGTTGTAAAAAAACATCTATGTCATTCCAAGAGACTTAGGGCCAGGAATTAACAAAGACAACATAAAATATTCCGGTTTCATAGAAAGCCAAGGTGGAAGGTTGTAATTTATTAACACAGCAGGCCACGTGCTGTGAGCAAAACTCATAGTTCAAAATGGATTGAATCCATCACTAGCAAGAGCTAAACGTACATTTCGTGCTTCACTTTTAAAGGTAGGATATGATGAATCAAATTCCTTCCAGGATTGGGCATCTGCTGGATGTCTAATTTTTTCATCTTTTATTCGGCCTTTATCATGCCAAACCATTAATTCGGCTGTGTTGGAACACATGAATAGTCTTTGTAGTCTAGGTATTAAAGGAAAATGCCTTAAAACTTTGGCAGTAACATTTTTAGACTTCCACCTAGATGTACCACACTTAGGACAAACATCCGCTCCTTCAAATTCTTTCCTATAAAGAATACAATCATTGGGTCAAGAATGAATTTTTTTATAATTAAGACCCAAATTCTTCACTATAATCTTAGATTCATTATATGATTTCGGAAGTTCAGCGAATGGAAATGCCTCTCTTAATAGCTCTAAAAGATCACCAAAGGCTACATTGCTTAAGCCATTAAGGCACTTAAAGAGAAACAAACGAATTATGAAAGATAATTTCGAGAAAGTTTTACAGCCTGGATACAACTCTTTCTTTCCTTCTTCTACCAAATGAAAAAACTTACTAGCCTCCTCACTTGGCTCACTTTCAACCTCATGATCTCTACTTAAACCTTCACCTACATCTCTAAAAGTATCATGTAGTAAGCCATCGATATCATCATGTGTACTTTGATTATTTACTTCATGCATAGTTTGCCTATCATTATATGTAGAAGAATATCCCTCCCTTTGCAAGACCCACTCCTAGAATCCCTTCACAAACCCATTAACAATCAACTGATCATAAACTTCATCTCTAGAATGGCAAAAACGCCTCGAACACGTTTTACAAGGGCAAAATATTTGATCTCCAATGGCGTCCTTGGCAAAATAATCATCAAGAAAAAAATTCAAAGCAACTTTAAAGTCCTCCGAACTTCTAGGATAGTTCATCCGATTTTGATCCATAATTTAATTTATGTCAATTCCTAAATTACACAAGCAAATAAATTTAGAGATCTATATTATGAAATGAAAGAAAATATTTGATTGATATTAATTGGAAAAATATACAAAACTAAAGCTGAAAATAGAAATCTGAAGCAAAAACATATAAAGATCATCTATGATATCTAAACACGTACACATATTAGATATAAACCAAAATCTAGTACATAAAAGTTTATGATTATTAAGATCATAAGTTATGTATAAGAAGAGAATAATTAGTTTTACACTTTTACTCTCTAACTAGACTGAAAAACAAAGTCTTTAGTTAAAACTTCAAATAAGAAACCACTAACTATGAAATAAAAGTTAGGTAGACATGATTCCATTAACTCATAACAATTCCCGACTAATAAAAATTATGCTATTGGTCTATAAGGAACACTTACTTGGCATCAACAATCTCTAGCTTATGTAGTAACTATCTTTAGGTTCACATACCCTTAATCTCAATAAAATATAAGATAAATAAAGTAAAATTAAACTCTCTAAAATCTTAATTATTTGTGCACTATAAATTTTAACTTCAACTCACTTTTTAATGATTCTTCACATCACCTTGTCTGGTTGTCTTGATATAGTTTCAATTAAGTGATTTAATTCTAATGGATAATGAATAAGATCTAAACTTTACATATCACGCTAAATAAGAGATAAGCACAAATGTAGGTACTAAACTTTCCCAAAAATTGCAAATAAGGTACTCATCTTCCACTTGTTGCAGTTAGAGTACTAAACTTTGTACTCTACTTGTTTAACCTGTTGTAGCAGATTATGGGGAAGCATTGAATACTATTTTTTTTTAAAGTTGTAAAGATATTAGTATCCCACCTCTTCATCAGTCATCAGCTCCCAAATAACTACCATTGAAATTCGTCGTCATCTCTGTGAATCTTCGTAAAAAGAATTCTAAATTCTTTGCTTTCACTCAGCAAATACTCCTCTCAGCCCTTTTCCTTCTCTAATAGTTGATTGTGGAAGTTGAATTAATCTCCTCAACTGGAAAACTAAGGTCTCTTTCACCAGATGAGCAACAGAGTTTTAATTCTTTTTTTTTTTTTTTTTTTTTTTTTTTTGCTTTTTTTTCTAGGTCTTCAACTTATTACCTCAATTAATCAACTATTGAATAAATCTTCAATTCAACGGCTTACAAGTCCATTAATGGAATGAAGAAGGTGAAATCTCAGAAGCAGGACGCCATTGTTACAGTTAGTGAAATATGAACTTAAATGATGTAATCTCTTCAAATTAATGTAGGATTTAATTTGCTATATTGTACTTGATTGTAGCTGGGTATGATTCGTATGAATAGATTAGTTGGGTAGTCCACTTCCAAAGAACCATTAACATCACCTTAAATGCTTTTTTTATTTTTTATTTTTTTTATTTTTTTATACTATCTCAAACCGGTTATAACAGGTTAGAACAGGTAAAGTGGCCGGAATATTCTCTCCGGTAAGTACTATCTTATAGTTTAGTACCCAATTTGCAAAAAGTGAAAGGTGAGTACCTTATTTGCATTTTTGGGAAAGTTTAGTACCCAATTTGTAAAAAGTGAAAGGTGTGTACCTTATTTGCATTTTGGGATAGTTTAGTACCTATATTGGTGCTTAACTCCACTAAATAAATTGTAATGTTGTAACAAAAGTTCACTTTATTTCAATGCTTATGTTACTTGAAAAGTCATGTTCTTTAAGTGGCATTAATCAGTGAAGTAGTGGTTAAGTTAGTTGTATTCATATGCTCACAAGTAGGTAGATATTTATAATTTTTTAGTACTTCTTACGAAGTAGTTTTTATATGGAGCATACAATTCACTTCCAATATCCTTATAATTGAAGATTTTAAGCTATGATAAAAATAGAACTAGTAAAAGGAGAAGTGAGGATCATCATGCTTTTATCATGTAATTATAACTATTTCTTAACACAAATAATTACAGCAAAACAACTTTAATTTTGAGAATAATTTTTATTTAAGAATGAGAACAACTTTTTAAGATTATAGCCTTTCAACTAATGAACATCAACTTATTCAATCACTCATTCACTCGTATAAGACCCAGTTCTATTTTTTTGACAAAAAAATCACAAATTAGCAATTATAGGCAAGTGGAAACTGAATATTGTTACTAATCTTTTCGAATCTAGCAATTATAAGCATGGTCACAAACTAGAGTATAAAAATAACCAACATGTCTTACAATCCCAAAAAATTCTGTAAAATTATTCAAGTAATTTGGCTTTTGTTGATCTTATACTAACCATCAACATGCAACTCACCAAGAAAAAATATTAATTTACAGGAAAAACAAAATCTACGGCAATTCATAATTAATCTATAAATTAACTTGAATTATATGAACTCTCATAATCAAGCATATAATTCCCCAATTTACCAAACCCTAAATCCCCTGTTCAATACCCATAAGTTCCAACTACATAATTGTGATATCAAAATAAAATTGCAGATAAGTTATTCAAGAAAATATCCATTTAAACAACTAAATTACATACTAACCTTGTTCACTAGTGTTGAGAGCAAACAAAGAATTGACGACAAACTATGATGACGAAAGAAATGTAAACTGTGATTCAAGCAATTTCAACTCGCCTACAAGGAATTGTAATCGGACTATGATGACGAGATTGTACGATAATCAATCCTAATTTATGTGTGAAAATAAGAGAGGGCTGATTTAAGAATTGTGTTGTGGGGATGAGCAGAGGGAATTGAAACCAAAAGAAAGAGGGTTTGTGAATTAGGAGTGAATTAGGAGAGGGTTTGTGAATTAGGAAAAGAAAGAGGAAAAATGGAAATTTACATGTTCCCAAAATTTTCATGTACCCAAAAAAAATAGAACGTTTAATCACTATCGAGTACTCCGTATTACTTATTTTTATTTTTCAAATCAGAAATTATTTAATTAATTAAATAATCAATAATATCAACTAGCATTTACTTGGTTAAACCGTTGCCAAATAATATCTTGTACATATTCATTAAAGGCGTTGCCATTTTTTCTCTATAGCAACAGATTTTAAACGAAAATGATTAGTTATATCAATAAATTAAAAATTGTTTCCATATGTGTACTTATTGCAACACTAATAAAACTGTCGCAAAAATGTGTGTTGCTATAGCCCTCTTTTGTTGTAGTGATTTAAAAGTAAGCTCAAGGAATCCGTCATGAGACTAAGGAAGCATTGCATATAGGAATTGGAACATGTTTTCTCATGAAGTTAATAAGAGGATTGACTTATGGAGAAACACATAAATTCTTATGAATAAGAAGTTTAGTGGGAGCAGAAGTAAATTATATAAAGGTCCAACAAAAAGTTTATGAACTCTATTGTGAAATAATTATCAAATGCTAAATGCTTAGATTTGAAAGTATTTTCAACAATGGACCAAGCAAAAGACGATACTTAGTACATATTGGCATTAAGATCTATTGTATAGACTTAATAAAATGTTTGAACGTGTAAAGGATTTTACCGTGTTAAACATGAATTGAAGGACTTTGAAAGACTTTCGACCCGCATGTATAAAACTAAGTAAATGTTTGATCTAAGTATAAGCTAGGCTAAATACTAAGTCAAACATGAAAGACTCTAATAGAGACTTTCAACCATATCACACAGCAAACAGTTTAGCAAGACTCAGTGAAACTGAATGAGCTAAAATGTCACATGGATGGAATAAGATTGGGAATTACTCTGCAATTTAATCCATCATGTACACTGTGATATGGAATCGTCGCACGACTTACTTTCTTAGAGCATGTGAAGTATGTATGTAGTACTAATCAACCTGAATCTATGTAATAGATCGTTAGATTGTGGCCAAGAACATCCAAAGTACTTGGATAAGTAACAGGATGAGTTCTTGACTTGTGGAAGCAAATACAATTTGAGAATTGATGTTGCAAGCACAAACCTTAACAAGAATTAGATCCTTAACAAGGAAGCCATTTATAAGCACGAGCTAACAATAAGTCGTGGCTTGGGAATGGTAACATGGACGTGCATCCATGTGTAATGTGCAGGAATTTAAGGAAAGTTTCCATGATCACAAGTGATTAGGGTATCCCAAATCATTGTGAGTCGTTGGGAGTGAAACCCAAGCAAGGCATCATGAAGAAGTCTACAAAATTATATGATGAGAATATTGTTGCCTTAAAAGGAAATAATAAAGAAGATGTTAAATGGAAAGTTCGTTGTTGAACGTTGATGATTGTAGGTTGTCAAGCTGAACGTCACAAATCATTAAAAATGAGTGGGAGACTCTCAAAGTTTTATCATCTTATTATGGAAATTGTAGATAATGAAGATGCTAAGATTTGCAAAGTAATTATAACTAAACCTATGCAATAAGTGAACGACAACATTCACAAATTGCGTGAAAGAAATCAAGCATATTAGATATGGGTGTGCTTTCTAAAAATGTTTTATGAAGAGTACTACTCTTAAAACATTGGGAAAACCAATTATCATAAGATGAACCATTCAGGTTTTGGAGTAATTTAAAATTTCATGCAAATTTATCACTCCATTTTCTATTTAATTAAGGTTTAGAATTAATTAATGAGTCCATTCGATTTTAAAGAATATTCAAAATAGGGTATCAATACAATGTCTTGGATAAATAAACACCTATTAAGTGAACATTGAATGTTTTAATCAAAAATTATCTCTAATCAATTAAGGTCATTTATATGATGGACGATTAATGACCAATAGAGATTAGTGTGTAGTATGATTTATGGTACCGCTTCTTGTGCTATGAGGACACAAATCATTTGAGGTTTAGAACCATACTGGATCGATCTATGAGAATACTTTAAGAGATTCAAAATCTTCATAAGTATATTTCTCATTATTGCTATCAGAACTCTTTTCCTTGACCATGAGTATTGATTAGGGGATTTTGCTCCCACCAATCGGAATGCGCCACGTGGGCCAATCAGGTCCTGCCAAGTGTTCCCCAGTTGGACCTCTCAGGGCTTGCCACGTGGCACACGCTTATTCGTCCGCCTTGGACCTATTATGTCATGGCACGTGGCATACTCCATGCCTAATGGAGAAGTCGGCCACCCAGGCCCAACTTCCGAGGGAAGCCCAATCAGCCCAAGGTTAACCTAAACCTAGATTGGCACGTTTCCCGAGGTTATAAATACCTCCCTTAATCCTCATTAAGGGGAGGATGCGAACAACGCAGATTACACACATTAAACTCTCTCACCTAGAGAGACCCAATCACTTTAATTTCCGCATTAATTACTCCTTAATCAAGTACTAACTTGACCGTCGGAGGCGGATCTCCAATCATCCGGAGCATCCGTTTGTTTTGCAGGTACAGGCGTCCGGTTCCAGTCTCGGAATTGTAACTCTCCCGCAGGACATCAGAAAACCCCGAAACATTTTGGCGCCGTCTGTGGGGAGAGTACTTCTGAGATGGCACCCACGTTTGTACCGGCTCCTGAAGAGAGACGTCCCCTGGACGATCCTCTAGTTCAGTCGGACCACGATACTGAGAATGAATTTGAAGTTGAAGCTCACACAGCTTCAGACGGGACCCTAAGGGCCCGACGTACCCGTCATACCGAAAGGAGGGAACGGGAACATCTTCAAACTGGAAGCGAGCCAGCAGGCGCACCGCCTGTTCGGCAGCAGCCGACTGATGGGTCTGCTCCCATCACAAGGAACGAACTCATGACCTTCATGAGGGACTTCAAGGGAGAAATTCAAGAGTTGATCAACAAGAAGCCGCCTGCTCTGGACAAGGAGCAGTCGGCTCAGAAACCCTCCACTGCACGGAAGAGGAAGCCAGTTCAAGGGCGAGAGGCGACCCCTCATCCTAAATCTAGGAAGTGGGAGCCACCTGCCCTTGATTTCACAAAATACCGTTTTCCTACTCCAGGAAATAGGAAACCTGTTCGTCATATTCAGGCGGATGGGTCGAGGAAAACATACACAGACGCTCGGCTACTGCTAGAACAGAAGAAGAGTGACCGATTGTCAGAGTCGGCCTCTACTTCAAACTTCCAAGACAGTTTGCGAAATACTTCGATGAGGCATACTCAGCCGTATCATGAGAGTCAGTCAGGCGGCACCTCCCGTCAGTCCGGCTTTCATAGCGACCAGGCGGTACCAAACTTACCGTTTGTACCGCAACAACAATATTTTTTACAACCACCTCCGTTTGGTGGACATGTAGCAAAAAATGTCCAACCTATGGACTGGCAGCTACGGTTGCTTAGATTTGGTGAACAGCCGTCGGCCTTCTCCAAGGAAATTACTGAAGCCGCTCAGCCGGCCAAAGTGAAAAATGTATTAGTAGGCGCCTATGACGGCACTACTAACCCAGAAGACCATCTGATGGCATTCACCAACCTGATGTACCTTCAAGGGTTGGATGATCCCACTTGGTGCAAGTGTTTCCCAGCGACTCTCAAAGGAATCGCACAACAATGGTTTGGCAACCTGCCGACTGGTTGTGTAAATAACTTCAAGACGCTTGCTTACTTATTCACCTCCAACTTCACCATGAACATCCCTGCGAAGAAGACGACCCTTGATTTAGGAACAATTCAGCAGGGCGAGAAGGAGGGGCTTCGTTCTTACGTCAGGCGGTTTAACCTGATGAGAATACAAATTCAAGGGTTACCGGATGAAGTAGCCTATACTGACTTTTTCAGAGGTCTCAAAGACGGGTCGACCTTCAAATTTGATTTGGTCCGAAAGAGGGTGGCGACTCTTCAAGAGGCCTTGATTGAAGCGGAAGCCTATATACAGGCGACTGATCTTTGTAGTACGGTAAAACAGTCAGACGGGAAAAGGTCCGACAAAAGAGAAGGACGACAGAAGCAGTCGTCAAACAAAGACGAGAAGAGAAAAGAGGTCTGGGCAACTGATTCCTCTAAACAGCCGTCCCAGAAGAAGAAAAAAGAATTCAAACCATACTCCCCAAAGTATGTGTTTAACAAGGATAGCCAATTTATCCTAAAGGAAATCAAGGGACGGATCTCAATTGAGAAGCCGGTCCCCATGAAGGGTTCTGCAAACAATCGGAACCAAGAAAAATTCTGTGATTATCATGAAGATGTTGGTCATCACACCAATGAATGCATCAGTCTCATGCGGTATCTAGACCGCCTGGCTGAGCAAGGTGATCTTGACACTTATGTCAAGAAATCTACGGGGAACACTTCCTCGAAAAAGCAGTCGACCAAAAAGAATCAACAGGCCGACAGCTCCGATACAGATGATGCAGTCGTCTACACCATTGCAGGCGGCTTCTCAGGAGGGGGCCCCACTATTAGGGGCAACAAAGACAATATCAGACGGTTAGATGTAAATTCCGTTCACTAAGAACGACCCTCCAAATATTCATTTCCTGAGATTGTCATCACTGAAGAAGATCTAGGAGGGGTAAGAGGGCCGCATGACGACCCTATCGTTATTGAATGTAAAGTGGCCAACCAGAGAGTTGGCCGAATCCTCATAGATACCGGAAGCTCCTCAGATCTCATCAGTAGCAAATGTCTGTCGAAACTAAAATATCAGACTGATTGCATACATCCGGCATCCCACCCTTTAGTAGGGTTTGGAGGAGGAGTGGTCCTACCAGTGGGACGAGTGGATTTACCCATCCGCCTGGGCGAAAAAGGGGAAGGACGACACATGGTAGTCCGGTTCCTGGTAGTAGAAGAACTCTCGGCCTACAACATGATTCTGGGACGACCAACCCTGAATAATTCCAAGGCTGTTATAATCCCATCTCTTATGTTGCTCAAGTTTGAGAGGGATAATGGAACAGTCGGGTCCCTAAGGGGAGATCAGAGGATGGCCCGAGAGTGCTATCTCTCGGAT